CTGCTACCGGTTAGGATGGGAGGAAAACATTATGAAAGCCTTCCGTTACCTCAGGCCTTGAGCAATACCTCATCTTATTCTGTGCCTTTCTAGGGAATGATGAAAATCCCTCCTTCCGTTTTTGTTCTAAAAGTTCACCAAGAAGCACTTCATTAAAAAATATGTTGCTTCTCTGAAAAACCTGACATTGTTAGAAATAATATTATTTAAAGCAGTGACTGCTTTCATTTTTGCTTAGTTGTTTTCTTTTCTCCCCTAAGCACAAAAAGTGTATATGATCTTAAAGATGAGCACTGTTTATCTTCGTCAACATCTGTTGGTTCAGTCTACTTATCTGGATTTTTGCGTGATGTCAGTCGGTGAAGTCTATGTGTGCCTCATCTATATGTGTAGTAAAATCAAGATTTTTGGCTTGGACATGTGAATTACTGAATGGTACAAGATCTAATTACTGGAGAGACTGCTCTTTTCCCTTCTGTCATGCTACTGCCATGGAAACTGGCAGAGATGACCAAGCAAGCATCCTTTCCACGGACAGGAAGCCTTTGGCTGTTTGTGATCTTCCCCACCTAGATTTATAACCTTCCCGGTGTACTTCGAAGCCTTATCCTTTCTTAGGGTCCTGAAGGGGGAAATGCCTTGCTGTTAGCTTCCCTGGGCTTTGGATCAGGAACTGTAGTGAGAATTTGCTTCTTGTGTGTCTTAGTTTCCTGCAGTGATGCAAGCCATGAAGTCTTGCTGTGAAGAGAAAGGTGTATTGGTGCAGTCTGCTTCAAACGTCTCATGTACAGTGTCAAAAGCCTGGATGTTGGTCTCCCTTGATTTTCCATACAGTCAGGAGAGAGAAAGAGTACTCCTCCAGAAGGCAATTTAAAGTATCTGATTTAGGCTTCTCCTCTGAGTCCTCTCCTCCCTCTGCAACCAGGAGAGAGGGAGAGGCAATTAATATATGCACTGCGTGTAGAAGGTATCCATACATGTGCAGACGCTTTCCTTTGAAAGTCCTGCAAGTAAGAGTTGAATGAGAGTTAGAAAAAGATAGAATTTTGGAAGATTCTTGGTTGAGGAAGTTTCTCTGTTAAGGAGGAGGGAAAAGATGGGGGAATTACTGAGAACTGTCAGTGCTCACCCCAGCTCTGTGTACCAGAGCTCTTCTAGGTGGCTCAGCTCGGGTGAGGCACAGTGGCTGTCCTGTTGCTGAAAGGCAAGTCCTGGCACACATACAAGAACAGGACGAATGCTATTTTATTAGCAGAACTGCTGTGGTCAGCAGCTTGTGCGCTGTAACAGCCTGAGCACTCGTCTAGCTCCACTACTAGCAGTGCTGGAACTTTTACATTACAGAAGACTGCAGTGTGTAGTAAGTCACCCCATTAAGGTGCAAAATGCTGATAGCGCGGTACATGCACTGGCAAGAGGGCTGGTCTCGTGGAAGGGGCCTGGTGTGTGAAAAGCAGTCCCTTAACTCTCACTTTGGGCCCAGTGGTAGGCTTTCATGGCTAACTGCATCTCTTCCTCCAAGAGCATATTTGTATTGCTTCCCACGTACTGAGGCTGGTACTGCCTAGCCCCAGCAGAGCTACATCAGTGACCTAAAGCAGATGCTAATGCTCCATCCTGCTTTCTAGCAATAGGCAACCATTCAGCGGACTTAGCTGTATCCTCTGACTGAGCTCTTAGCCTCAGGAGATTGAGAAAGCAGTGATTTTCTGAGCGGCTCCAATTCAACTACTCGGACAATATTTGATATATTTATTTATCCAGGACCAAGGGTGTCTTCTAGATTTTGCTGTTTTGGAAATCATTTGGTCTCATGGTTTCTTTTCTGCAACAGTACCTTACTATCGCTGTCTTTTGTGATATCAATCCAAGATCCTCAGGCAAAGGCTTCATTAAAAAGAAATAGGTTTCAGTAATTCAAACAGACCTCTTAAGTGTCATCTGCTGAATGCAGGTCTTGCAGAACTGGCTTAACATTTAGTCTTTTTCCTGCTCTGCTGACCAGCTTTAGGTGGGGTTGTCATCACAGAGCATAACCCAGTGCTGTCTCCTGCAGTAAAGAGAAAAAGTATTTGACATCTATAAATTTATATATATTATATAAATATAATATAAATAAAATACATTAATTTAATTACAATTAAATTACAATATAAATAAAATATATTGACAAGGAGTCTTCCATTTCTGCTGTGGCTGAAATGGCACTGTCAAGAATCACAACCAAATGAGGGTATTTGTGCACAATTGTGTCAGATTGGGTTTGATCCAGTTTGGCCCAGCTCTCAGTGGATACTAACAGTGTAGGAGCTTCACTGAGTTCAGTGGAGCAAATATTTAGAAAGAGGGTTGCTTTAAGCTCTCTGAGGTGCTGTGAAATCTCATATTGCAGAGGTCTGCTGTTTACCAGAATCCTGAATGAACTTAGGGCTCCCAAGGGTTCTCTCACCTCGTCTGCAATGAAGACCTTTGTAGATAGAGATGTGTGATGAATTTCTGCCAAGATCAACTTTCCTACCTCCAGTGCGTGCACGGAAGTGAGGAGAGGGCACCCAGGGCAGTGGTGCTCTTGCTTCTGGTTAAGGTACTGGTGGAGATGAGCTAGTTTATCTTAGTGCACATTAGAATAACGAAGAGGAATATCTGAGGCGTGTGTATCCGGCCCATATTTGCCTTCTAGGCAAATACCAGGTTCAAGGGGGGATAAAACCCTCCCTTCCTCATAGTCACTAACCCACTTCCCACACAACCCACTTCCTACACATCCACTGTCTTCCTCCTTCCAGGAGGGTGGTGAGATCGGGGCAAAAATGACTTGTGGTCGGGCTCTGGACCAGTCTGTTGTTTGAAAGGCCTTATCCTACCACCCCTGCTGCCATAGGAACCCCCTTCTCTGTTGCAGTCCACATGTGATACTTGGACTCATCATTGTGAGCTTTGCTTGGCAGGAAAAAGGAGTATATAATCACTCACAGGTGCTCAAAGCTAGTGTTACGGCAGAGACTGGACTGATCACAGCAGGTCAGACAGGGTTTGACAGTTCGTGTTATTGAACATAATGGAAGGCTCAGGTTTAGGCTGTAGATATAGCACAGAGAGACTACACATGTTTTCACTCTTGCTGTTTGGTGGAAACAGCCGCATGGATAGCATCCTGAGCTCGGTAAAGCTCAAAGAGTTAGTTTATTTTTCTTTCTACTTACATGCTGTCCATTTTCCAGAATGAATTTCTGGTTCTCTCCTACAACACTAGCATAATTATAAAATGCATGTCTTGACTGCTTTACCTGGCTCTGCTCTTGTGGTCCCAAAAGCTTAGTAATCAGTAGTAGTGTGATTCAGTGTCCAGCAGCAAACACAGAGGCTATGAGTGAAAAAGGGGGTGAGCTGTCCTGTGCTAACCATTATGGTTACCACAAGTCTGGGTCGTTACAGTGCAATGAACCAGTAGTGAAGCAGCAAGTTTCAGAGTTTCTCAGAGCTCACAAAAATCTTTGGCATGGCCAGGTAATGGCCGGATTTTCTCAAGTATTGTCGCTTGTTGCGCCTTCTTTGCAAAAAGATGTGATTATTGCACTGTTAATTATTGCAATGTTAATGGTGCTGATATTGTGGCAAGCATGCAGCTAGTGATCTTAAGGCTCCTTCAAAACACTGTGCAAGAAAAAAAAAAAACCAACACAATTTGCTATCTTTTCCATAGAGTAAGTAGGAGAGTGGCTGACTGTCTTGTGCTTTTCCTCCTGGTCTAGCTCAGAGCTGAGGCATGTCACTGCAACCCACTGCCTCCATGTGAGAGGAAAAGATTAGGCTGGAGACGTTTCTGTTCATGTGCATGTGGTCTAGCACACATGGCCGTTGTGACTGTGGTGTCTGATCCAAGGCAGTGGAGAAGTCCCTGTCTATGCCCTTCAGGGCAACATCCACCCTCAGCGTATGCTAAATGGTACTGCAATTGCCATGTGACTGCACCTTGGTTATGTGAACTGGGAGTTAACATGCTGCACCAGGGAGTGCTGATGTGTGGGTTACAGCCTGCATGTAACTCTTTTATCCTGCCCCTGTCTATCTGGTGTACTGGTGCTTGATCCCTCACACATGAGAACTCCTTGGTCAGCCTGATGGCTGCTTGCTGCATTCCTGGGTTTTGTGTTAATATTGTAATGCCAGTGCTTTGTGGTATTGGAAACAGTTTGTAGCTGGTTTGCACCTGTGCAAAATGGTTTTAAAATGCTGACATGCGCATTCAGAGGCATTCTGTGCATGCCATCTGTACACTTTGTGTCAGTGTGAATGATCGCATGGTGTGAATAATTGTAGTAGAGAGTTGGGCCTGATTTGCGTTTGACTCTAAATCCCATGAATTATCACAGCACAAGAGGAGAAATGAAGTCTACAGCTGGCACTAGATTTGGAGATGGAATAAAATCCCTCAAAACCTAACTAGTCTAGCCTGGCCCCTCCTACGTGTCTTTGTAAGTAACTGTGCTGATTCTGTGCGCTGATAAACTTCCTTCAAATCTGGGGTATCTTTTGGCTGCATCTCTCCCTCCGCTGGAAATAACGTGCTCCATTCCCTCCGTTCCCTCCACCCCACTCAAATTCTTGTAGCTGCAGCAGGGCTAGCAGCCAACTCCTTTTCTAAGCTTCCCTTGTCTGAGGCTCCATCCAGATGCTTTTGGAGAGATGCTTGATCAAAGCAGACAGAGCTGCGATTGAGCCTTTTCGCAGGGAGCTGTGAAATGGTAGTGTACTACCAGGAAAATTCTGCAGAGCTCTGTCAGACTGCTTTGATGAGGCCAGGCTGAGCTGCCCAGACAAACTCACTAATGATGTGGCTGTCCGGAGCATCAAATATGACACAAAGCAGAGAAAGAGATAAACATAAACTTTTGGCTGGTAATGTGAGTGGTGGGAAGGATTTAATTTTCTCTGTGGCAAATCTGAGCTGTGAACCCTTTCTGTGATATTATTGACCATTCCCTCTTTTCTTTCTTTTCCAGCACAAATTGACTACCTTGCCCAGCAACACCTTGACAGAATGGTACATATATTGGATGAGGAATACAGCAGCAATAGTAATTATATATTCTATCTCTCCAAAATAGTTGCATTTACAACGGAAAACTTTGGCAGCTTGTGTTGAGTAAAGGCTGCATTTACCACAGAATGTGGCAGTATATATCATGGCCTATAAACTTCTAAGTATTTACACGCATGCAGTCCAAACAGTTTTCTGAAGAGCCTGAAATACTCAGCCAGCTCAAGTAAGGAGCACTTGTCCTTACTGTAACCCATGCACATGGCATTTAGATTCATGCTTTTCTTTCTACTATGTATCTCATCATCTACAATCACTGCTGCAGTCACTTACTGTCACACTTAATAGTGTACACTTTAATAGTGTAAGGGAAGTGAGTGTGGCTTACAAGAAGCTCCCTATCCCCAAAGCCTGATTACCAGAAGTAGTTTAAAATAGTCACATTCCTGGTAGGGTGAACAGAGAAGCCTGGACAGCTTGAAGTGTAATTGCAGAACTATTCAAACCTCTGTGGTCTAGTGCTGTTTAATATGGGCATAAGCATTTTGCTGTTGGATACTCCCTGGATCCCTCAGAGATTAAGGTTAGGCATTTCTACTGCCCCTGCTACTCTTGGATATAGAGAAAGCTTCATGCTCTGACGTTGCAAATCTGGCAATCTGCATAAATATTGGATTTACACGCATGCTCTCAAGTCACTGCCATTGACTATTTTGATAGGAATCCAAAACTACAGATGCTTTCCCAGAACACATTAAATTGTTGCTTCGTCTAATGAACAAGTGCTGATGGTCCCATTTTGGCATGCGTGAAGTGTGACAGTGTGTCAGAAAAGCAGCTCAGGTTCTTATCACAACCTCCGGTGGGCTACCTGACTGTCTCCTGGGACTGCAAAGAGTGATGGGAAATGAGATGAACATGCCGTTTCAGCAGAGTTCAACATAGACATAAAGGTGGTAAAATCTTCGTAAACAGATAAATCCTCATTTTGCTAAGTGACTAGGTGAACATTTTCATCAGTTCCTCTTTTGTCCCAGCAAACTTATTCACTCCTCCTAATTTGCATGCCCTGCTTAGCTGGTCGTGATTTATTGCCATGTCACATTGATAACCCAAAGGTGGAGTTACTGTAAAAAAAGAAGTGTTTTTCCTCATAATAATTTAGGAAAAAAAAACTAGTTGGAAGAAATCATTTTGAATTTTTCATCAGAAATGAAACAGAAATTCAAGACAACTGTAGTTATTTTCCTTTTCTTCCAGTATTCTATTATGAAATGCATTTACTAGTGAACTTGCTCTAGTATAAGATAAGTCATGTAATTCCCAGAGAAGGATGATCTCAGGATATGAAAGAATCTAAAGTGAAACCAGATGAAAAATAAGGATTTGGGGGATTTGCTTTTATATTTCTCTTCAACTTGCCAGTGTGTGTGGAATATGCTTGGGTGCTGCTTGTGCCTGTATATTTTGTGAACTGATGCTACAGCACAGCTAGCAAATGTGAATTGTTCCTTTTGCAACAGATACTCAGTTACTTGGCTAGGCATATGCTTGATTACATGACGCATTAGAAAATTTTAGGCAGATTCTGAGGTGTTGTGTCCAATGATTTCTTCCTCTTTGTTTTTTTAAGAATGTTACCACAACTGACCCACAGCCCCAGTTTAAAAATACTGGGGTCACAAATGATGATCTACTAATTACACGGCCTAGTGCTTGGACTTCTGTTCCCTTTGCAGTTTAATAAGTATTGAGAAATACACCATTACTTCTGTGATTAAGGAATCTTACTGGTATATTAGAATATTTTGTTTGTATGGATATAGCTGAATACAGCTTACGTGAGGAGATATATGCCAAAATATATGTGTTGACTTACAACTGGTCTCCAGGCAACTTTGAAAAACTGATGGACTATATTACTCTCCCTTTTATTGCTGGAAGTGCTTGATCTTTAGAAAGTTGAAATGCTCCTGTGTTCAGATTATTAACATAGTTCTGTTCTTTCATGAGACTTCATATTGAAGTGACTGGTTTGGAGGTGATGAAGTATATCCTTCATGTTATCTATGATTTTCAAACGTTCTCTCAGCTGCAAGGTATGTGCAGGTGTTATCCCTGTTTAGGCCAAGACCATTTAATAGCAACGCAGGCCTTTGTAATCATGCAGATCAGTGACGGTGTTTCTTTCTTAGTGGCTCTTTCAGCAGATCTCCTCTGTCAGGTTAAGAATGCAGCATGACTGTCTGCTGTCCAGCTTCAATCTGCCATGTTCAAATTACATTCACCCTACAGTCTTTATATTTCATGCCTATAAAGTGGCAGTTAGATTTTAGACTAGTGGCGCTAATTTGAAATTTTGGCTGCATTGGAGACTTCCTCCTTTGGCCCTTGCCTTCACAGTTATCACAGGGAAGTAGAGTTTCCATTATCATGTATTAACTCAAGAGACGATAGGGCCTTTTCTGCTATACAAAACGTGCCCTGTCTTGAAATTTATGTGGTTCTCCTTTAAAAGTACTGATGTTTTGGGAGTTTTATTTTTTTGATATTTCACACTTGTTTAGTTTAACAGGTGTCAGACTTCTTTCAGCACAACTGAGGTTTGACTAAATTCGCCTGGCTCACCCTGTGTAAGGCATAAGTACAGCAGTGCAAAATATGCAGGGACAGTATTCCTCAGATGCATGTGAAAGACTTGAGAGGTAAGGCTTGTGCTGTGCAAAAGGAAGCAAATAACAATCTGCTTCTGAGCATAAACTGGACCATCTGTGAACTGTGGCAACCATCTAGCCAGTGTAGCTGGCTTCATATGGTGGGTCCATTTAGCAGCATTCAGGTACTGTGTTAAATCCCATGACCTTCCTAGTAGGCTTTAAGAAATTGCATTTGGGAGTTGGGAAGAAGATGAGGTAGGAACCAGAGGCAAAGCTAGAAATATGTCAAGCAACACAGAAGTGAGATGGAGTTCAGCTTTCCCTTTCTGCATGCCATTTACCATCAGAGTTCAATAAAAGAGTTTGTGGCGTGTTTTGATTGACTGACCCTAGCTGCTTCACCACTGTTGAGGGTGTGTGCCTGCACACCAGGGCTCCCTGGAGCATGGCCCTTGGCAGCAGTGGGCTGTAGTGGTCCTTCTCTTTGCAGAGCTGCAGAGCGGTGCCGCAGGGTAAGAGTGGACCAACCTGCGTGAGAAGGGAGAGAGGGACTTTCCTACGGTGCCAGTGCCAGTTCCCCTCTCTCTTTGTTCTTCATCCAAAATCCCATTTATCTGAAGATGTGGATTTTGTCCAAGGTATATAACTGATTAACTTTTGCTATATGAATGAATGTAAGGAAGACAGTTTATATGCCAGAGAAAGACAGGATGTGGATATGGCTGTGGAGGATGTAAGTTGTACAGTGACACAGGCCTCTTCCTCCCTCCTGACCCAGTGGATGCTATCTTTGGGGTTGCTAGTGAGTGCTGCAGGCGGTTGCTCTTCTTTGCCTGACAACTACATCCAAGGATGTTACTGAATGAGGTCTTTGAACGGTCCTTTTCTCAGTACATGGTAGCATTCATAGCAGCCATCAGTAAGAAACCAGGGTGCTCATCAGCTGGTAAGTATACTAATCCTACCACGCTAATCCTGTCGTTAGTGTGTTCGTATTCACACTTATCTCTGCTAATGGGGAAAAATATGGAAATAAATGCTATTTTTTAATTTGAAATTTGTTATAGAAGAGTCTTGCACAGTGTGTTTCTTGGTTAGCAAACTAATGTGAACAAGAGAGGGATAGGAAAAATAAAACTACCTCAGGAGGAATTTCTTGCCACGGTGCTCAGGCACTCTGCAATAACTTGCGAGTGAACCACTAAATGACACAGACATCTGATATTCTGGGCTATTTGTCTAGTAGGATGCAAAAGAGACCGGCCATCTCTGGCCTCTTCTCTCTTCTGGACGCTCATCTTGTGGCATTAAAATCACCGACTGCTTTTGGAGGAAGGTGTGTGGGCAGGCCAGAGTGAGGGGGTGCCTGGAGGAAGGCTGAACAGCTTGATAAGCGTTCCTCTGGGGCTGCGGTGTAGGAACAGAAGGTCTCTCTGCTCTGAGGGGGATGATATTTCTAGATGTGCCAGCTCTGGGCTTTGGCTTTTACTGTTGCTGCCTGTGCAGTGGGAGGGTGCAAGAAGTAGGAGATATGTAAGGACTTTGTGCTGTCTCTCTGAGAGCTGTAAAACACAGGTGAGCATGAGGAGCTGGTCTGGGCCACTGAAGGATAGGCAGCAGAGAGCTGGCATACATGGTCTCCAAATACACATTTGTGTGAGAACTGATATATCCTTTCACTGTAAGTTCTGCTTAATGTCTAATCCCCAGGAAGACCTTACTTTACAAAATATCTTGCTGTGAGAAGATAGGACTTTGCAGCAGAAACCTGCTGGGTGTTACAAACAAGGGTGCTTGTTACAGGGAGCAACTTTTGAAAGCTGCTTCTCCCCTCACCCTATTGATCCATATTATGTTCCTTAGCCAGTGAGGGATCAAGAGGAGATGCAAGAGCAGAAAGGGGGAAATGCAGACACCTTTTCTTCTGAGCAGAGATTTAATGCATGAAAAAACAACGATAAACCCTTTCCTGTGGCACCGGGGAAAAGACCTATTGTGATCCCTCTCCCTGACCCCAACTAGTGAAGATCTTTTCTTTCTTCTGCACTGTATTAAACAATGCATCTTTAGGCAAGCCTTGTGAATGTTGGAGCTGGAACCAGGGCAGGGAGTTTCCCAGAAAAACGGGCAGTGCGACTTAACCTTTCTAGCACTTGATTAGTGCTAGTGTGAAGTATAAGACAACTTAGGGAGCAGGAGGAGGCAGGAGTGAGTGAACAGCAGCAATATGGTATTTAGCAGGTGTTGGGTAGAGTAGAATCTAATGAGAATCATGGAAACACTTGAAAGCTTTTTAACTCCATACAGGATTTGCAGGAGCTGTTGATAGGAAACAGTAGTGACCCAGCTGACAGTTAAAGAGATGAAAGGAAGCCCTTTGGATTAAATAAGATTTAGGAAATAAAAGGATTAATGCTACACAAAAGCTAGATTTAGGGGTTTATTTAGCCAGTGCAGTGTGGCATGATGGCATGTGGGGCATCAGAAAGGAGATGAAAGACAAAATAAAAAGACGAATGTGGGAGGTAGTAGGGAGGCGAAGAATCAGCACAACATCTCCAAAAACCCTTCACAAATCTTCTTATAATTGAAAGTGGCACAAAAAAGTAGTTTTCATTAGCAATCCTGGCTTCTTTACATAGCAACAAGAAGTGTTACAATGACGAGAAATCTTCTGTGATGGAACTGTCAGCTACAGGACAGGCAAACTAACATAAATAAATTACTCTATTAAATTCATAATTCATTGTGCTTTCAAGTAAGACTAGTGAAAAGCCATTCTTGTTTAAGAGATGTCCGTTTGGAAGTCTCTAATGAAGTTGACAGTAGGTCTCAGAAATGAGAGGTGCACACATGCTGGAGGAGCCGAGAGGATAGAATGCCTCCGACTGGCATCTGGCATGGGAATGTTTTATTTTGTACCTGAAAAAACAGGACTGATAGGTTTCCAGAACTCAACTGTTTGACTTGTGGGTAAATCATCTATAGCTGACGATTTGTTCTATTAGAAAGGTATGTAAAGAAGGATACAGTAAAGAATTTGGCTGGAATACCTCAGCTGGTATTCAGCATGGCCAGAGACCATTTCAAAATCCACTGAACACTGTAGAGTGGCTATGGGGGTAGGGGGGTGGAAGAGGTGGCTCAGACCTCAAGGCGCTGCAGTAAGGTAATTGTGGGTGCTCTTGGCCGTTTGCAAGTGCTATGTGATGAAAATACCACCTTCTCTGTTACAAAGCTGCTTTTACTCCAAGGATAATTATGAACCTCTCTCATGTGTCAGAGGCTATCAGGAAAAGCAGAAATGCTCCTTTTTTTCTCCCTGCAAGTTTCCAAAATGAGCTTGGATTCTTTTCCTGTCTAGATGTAGAAGAAAATGTATTTTGTTGCCTCACTTTAACAAAATGAAGATTTTTTTACAACTGTAGACAGTCATAACTGGATTAGGAAGGTTTGTGATGCGTGAGAGATGTTCTAATTAAAGTAAACCAGATTTCTTCTGCCAGGGTTTCTGGAAATACACTAGTGTAGAAACACTTCTTCAGATGATATTCGCTTTTCACTTGTTTTATTATCCTACAGGGATGTTAATAGGGTTACAGAAACATTCGGAAGTTAGAAAATGCCATTATTTAAGTTTCTTGGGCACCTTTTGTATGGCCTTGTATTGCCTAGGTGCTTAATCCCTAGGATGTGGTCCCAAAGCAGTTTTTTCACTGAACTCTGGCCTGCATAAGTAATCTAGATTTAAATAACAGATTTACATTTTATTTATGCTTACTTTATATCTTTTACAGTGTTCATTGTAAAGAGGTGTTCATTCTTTTTGGTTGGCTTTGGAAAGAAATGGAAACTGGACTGAAAATTCACAAAGGGTGCTTTAAAAGGTATTTTATTTGCTCAGTGAAATGACCTTCAATGTACTGACTACATGAGAAAATCCTGGCAAAATTTTTTTGCATCTAAATTGCCCGTTCATTTATTTTATTATTATTTTTGTTCAATTCAATGAATTCAGTTAATACTTGTTTTTCTTAATAACCTGGTCACCTCATTATTAATGTATAAACAATATGTTCACTGCAGACACAATTTTCAAAGGTAATTGGGTGAAGGTAGTTGGATGTCTGCTTGGATTTCCAAACCACCTAACTTAGATAAAATGTCTAATAGCTTATGATGTCAGAGAGCATAAGTCAGCAACTTTAAGTTTGCTTTAAACAACTTCCCTGGGACTTCTGGGGGTAGGCTGGAGTGGATGCAGTGGCAAAATCACCTCTCCAGCGCTCACCTGCTTTTTGTCTTGCTGCAGCCCCTGCCTCCTTGACCACATCTTCCCTCTTCCCTGCAAACGTGGTCAAACCCAAAGACAGGAACATCATACTCCACACCATCCTGCAGCGTAAGTCTGACCTGGTCTCTGAACTCTGCAGTCTTAATAATGTCATTTCCTTACTTTTGAGGGCTTGAATTTTATAGCCTGAACAAATGTCCTGTAACAGAGGGCTTTGTTCATAAACATTTCAGGAGGAGGGTGGGTTTGCTGGTTTTTCTAATTTTTTTCTCCTGTTTTAAATCACAGTGGAAAATCCACCCAGTTCCACGACAGGGCACCCTTCTGACACCCATGCGACAAGGACGTTTTAAGGACTTCTTTTTGCCCCCAGCGCCTCCTTCCCCAGGGCCCATAACCTGGCTAAGTTTAAGCAGATTTTCCTAAACACAGTAAATGCCAAATGCTGGAACCAGTTATTTCACATCCTTCCCCTTTAGAACTGCATATACTTCATTCAGAGCAGGAGGACAGCAATGCAGATATCCACCTGTAAGATTCCCTCTAAGATCACAATGGCTGATTTTTCCGTGGATACACTGGTTGTCACTGGGATTTCTTTTTCAGATTTTTAAAATCTGAAATCAATATCTCTCACGAGAAATGTTATTTCAGATGAGCAAAATTTGGAAAATATGTTTTAAAAAAGAGAAAGCGAGGGTTTTAATAAAGGGAAGTTTGGGCATCATATTCAACAGTGCCTGTAATATTGCATGTAAGTAGTAGTAGTACATGGATGATTGCTTTAACCACTATTTCAGAACGTCCTGGAACACCAGTTTTTATATAAATGAATGTTCATGGTTATCATTTATTCCAAATTTATGTGTTTGAAAAGTTAGCATAATTTCTTTCTTGTTTCAAAATCGCATTTAATATGCGTGTGCTTCTGCAGAACTGTCTTCTCTCTCTTGCTTGTCTCTCTTTCAATTGGAGTGGAAGAAATGCTGAAGTATTGTAGTGCTGGAATTGAAATTCCTAAAACAGAACATGCCGGAGGTTTCAGGAGCACAGAAAGCTCTCTTGTCCTGAGCCATGGTAGAATATTTTTCCCTTGTCCAAATGTCTCCCTGGAGACAGCCTTCAAGTGTAAACATTTTTTTTTCACTGTCAACGGAGCTTTTTACCTGGCAGCTCCTGCTTTCTGTCTCCTCCTGCCAGCTCTTCC